TCAGTGGGGCAAGGAGAAGCCCCGCCAGGTATTTACTTACCTTGCTGATGTAACCAATAACGTTGACTCTACGGATTCGTTTGCCCGCCGAACAGAGAAGCACGGCCGTGTAATGCCGCTTAATCGAGTTATTCGTCGCCTCGTTTAAAAATTCCGAACGAAACGATTATCTACACGCGATTTTTGTACGTACGTACACAACTCGACGCAGTGTCTCATCCTCCTCTATTCATATCCATAACGACAGATGGATGACTTTTAGAATTCGATTCCAATAAATTTTCCTCGCCACGCAAATTGTTTCAAGGGATAAATCGGATGAAGCTATATTTCGCGACGAGCAACGCGCACACATTCGTATATCTCGGCTGGAAAAGTGATAAGAGAGACGAAGGGGGAGGAGGAAGGAAAACAGAAGAAACGGCAGAAAGGCAAACTACGCGGAAACGGTATTACGTATGCATCAGCGAGATGTTGGGGCACAACAAGGCGCGAGGGCTTTCTAAAAATTGAAAGGGACCCTTTTAACGCGAGCATCTTTGATGCTTCGACCTTGAAGCAAGCCTGCCCCTCCTCCGCCCCGGGTTTTCTGTCTTCTTTATACCTGTTCCTATCCCACCGACCTCCTTGAAAAGCAACCCTACAACCGTGCACAATACACACATCTACATACCGACTATACGACGTACGTGCTAGCCTCACTTCTCTCGACTTTTTGCATTCTTTCCTCCTCCTCCTCCTTCTTTTTGCTCCTCCTTCTCTCCTTCTTCTTCTTCTTATATTCTCCCTGTCCTCCTTTCACGCACACATTGGCCAGACTGTTCTGCCGCGTCCTGGTCTCCGACAACAACCTTCCTGCCCACCACGAGCCTTCCTGGCTTTGGCTTCCCTCGACTCTGACTCTTCGAAGAGCGGTTCCTTCAGAGGCCCGCTCTCGTTATCGATTCGTGGAAAACCTTCTCCATCATCTCGCTACCCATCCTCCTCTTCATCCCCCTTTTCATCCTCCGTGTCTCTCTTGTGCAACGAACCGGCAAAAATCTGTCTAGAAATTCCTCATACTTGGCGAGATCCTTCGTTACATGAAATACAAGGATCTCCTTCCTCTATTCCTTCTTTCTTTCTTTTCTCGCCCTTTCGTTGAATGCTGCTGATCGAAGAAGTCTGTCTGGATCGAGAAAAGAAGGTTTGTTTAGGGTAATTTTGCTCAGAATCGAAAAATTGATAAGCGTTGTTTGAGGCATTTTCTCTGTCGAGAAAATGTTTTAAGTTGATTTGGAGATCGAGAGGTATTTTATTGAAATTAGGCCAGTGAACGATTTTTGTCAAGTTGTGTTTGGAATTTGGAAAGTTATAAGACAGGATGATATAGTGTAACGTATAAGAATAAACAAATAAAATTTGAATGAAATTTGCATTTGCACAGTTCGTTGCGTTCGAAGTTTTAGAAATTCTCTACAAATTTGATCACCATGTCAAACAAAAATAGATGCAACACAAACACGATACAATGGATGGAAAGAACAGAGTTAAAACGAAATACACGTTGTCCAAACTGCGTTTTGTACGTGCATTCTTTATTTTGATATTCTACTATTAATCTCGTAGATTTCTAATTGTATCTATGATCAAAACATTTTATCAAAATATCGAGTAAACCACTTTCTTAATTTAAAATGTTTCCATTTGAAGAATGTGCTATGACTTATACGACAAAAATATTTATAATAACGTAGTCGTAAGAACCACTTGTTAATTAATTTAAAATCGGGAGAAAAAAAAATGGAAATTTTTCCACCTATATTTATCAATCTTAAGTTAACAAAAAAATATAATTCAAATCTTTGCTACAAGGATGAAAGGATCACACGCATAATTAATTTTTAAAATAATTTTTGCCAAGAGCTGGAATTACAAAATTTGAAAAAAAAGAAAAATGGCATCAACAAAGCATCTCCCTCGACAAAAAGCAGAAAATTTTTCATTTACACTTAATTGTTCCAAGATAAAAACGCGCACAAGGATCGCGTGCATAATGATTTAAAAAGAAAAAAGAAAAAAATGTTACCAAGTCATCAGCGGTATTATATCGCGAGGCTTTGCACTTTGACGTCTTTTCTCCAAGAGCCCTCCACTCAAGGTTATGCCGTTTCTCGTTCGCAAGATCAGAAGGGTGGCGGAGATCAATTTCCGTGGAGAGGCACGGATCGTTGATCTCGCGGCCACTTTTCTGACACGTAGCAAGGTAACGACAAGCGCCAGGGTTGCGGCGACGTGCATCGCGTACAAGCGAGCGCCGCAGGAAAATTCATTTCGCGGCCTCTCTCTCTCTCTCTCTCTTCTTTTTTTCCTCTTTCGCCTCTCGACACGGATATTACGTTGTAACGTGCTCCTTGATTGCATCGCGACGCGATCCATTTCGGTGGCGCACTTAATTTACAAAGACCCTCGTTTCGAGACGCTCTTCACCTTCGAATTTGCCGATCGTACGATGTATCCTTCCTTCTTAGAAATATATATATATATATATTTGTGCCGCGTATTATAAAATTGGACGGTGATCGAGTCTTCGATTATTTTTTTTAAAAACTATCTCTAACATCGATTAAAGTTACATGTACAAATGCGTATTTACGCGTGTTTATTTTGTATAAATGGTGTAAATATATTAATCTGCAAGTATCCGAGAAAAACTGTACGGTTTTTCGACGTCAAAACAATTGCAATGCCTTCGAGTTCGATCGAAAGCGTATTAAAATTGGAAGAAATTTAAACCGTTATAACTCCGAGGATAACGGCTTCCGGCAAACGAGCGAAAGACGGTTGGAAGCGCAGAATCTTACGCTTTGAAACGCTCTTTGATTTATACCGATACGACTTCCGGTTCCCGAGATATCGTCGTGTAAAGGAAACGGTAATTTTTTGATCGGTTATTATCTCCGTCCTCGCCGCTTACTCGGGCCTCTCGCTCGCACCTCGTCTCGCCGACCTATCCCAAACTGCAGACAAGCGACAGACGCGATTCTTGGAAGAGTACGCGTAGTACGCGTTTCCAGGAAAAAATGTAGGTCATGGGCCCATTCATAATTATCTCTCTTCGCTGTCACACTTCGAATCCTCATATCTCGGCAACCGATTGGGATATCGGGATAAAACAAAGACAGTTTTCAACGGCATCGTTTCCTCCGCGTTTCTCAATATATATTTTTCGTATATACATCGATCGAATATTTCTACGATTGTATAATAAAAACATGTTAGCGAGAATGTACAAAAATTGGATAAATTTAGATACGATTATGATAATTATCCGTATCTTTAAAAATACAAATGTGAAATTTAATAACGAAAAAAATTCATTCAAGAGTGTATCTTTTTATTCAATCATCGTTTGAGTTGTGATGTAAGTAACACGCGATGTTTAGCCGATTTTACAGCGGATTCTAGATCGTTAGGTTATGATAACGCGAAACAACTGCTCAAATTGCATCACGATACAACATTATCCCGTTCCTGGAGGAAATTACACGTTGAAATATTCGATCTCTCACGGAGTCTGATTTAAGTTGCGGATAGAGCTAGAAAATTACGTGATAAATCGCTCTTCTTTGTTTACTCGGAAGAAGGATTTCATCGAAAGCCGGGGGATTATCTGATATTCGTTGCAGGAATAATAAGCGAAGGAAACCTAAATTCGATTCCCAAATTCAATCTTAAATTTATCAAATATGAACGGAGAATTTTCAGAAATCGATTCTTTAATCTATTCCACAGAACAATTTTAACACATTTTCATTATTATTTATCCCAGAGATTGTCAGAAACATTGGTAATTCGGTAAGAATAATCTAGCTCGATTATAAATTTAATCCTAAATTAATTGAACGTGATAAAAAAATTTAATCGTGGATTTTTTTTTAATAAAATTTTTCAGAAAATTCACAAATTGTAGTTCCAATATCCGATTCAACAACAGTTCAACCTACACTTCGAAAAATTCCAATTTCGTTCGAAACGAGAGAAATTTCACGATTTTTCTCTTCGCTTTCACTTCGACCTCCCCCTCGATTGTAACAACAGAAGAGAGCTATCCTCTCTGCAATATTTATCGCAAATTTAATCACTCTTCTGCCGTTGAAATTCCATTAGTTTTATTAATTCGCAGAAATTTCGCGGGGGCGATGTGAGAAAAAAGATCTCGCGTGAGATCTCGTGTCGCGTTTTATTAAAATCGTGTATTTTTTTCGAACACGAGGAGGATGCTCGAGCGCTTGTTCGCTCTAGGCGCTTTGAATACCGACGTAACATTCTTCGGCAAACACAGAGATAGAAAGATATGGAACACGGGAAAAATCTCGTAAATTCGAGCGATGAAAATAAGGTGAGCCTCGCGTTTCGGATTTTTCCTTCATTTCGTCCATCGACACGTTTTCTACGCGCGAATGTAAATATCCCAGAGAGATGAATGGATTCTGCGAATTTCTCTTTCTATCTCCCTCCTCCCTTCCCCGCTTCTTTTTTAAACGAATTATCCATATCGTAATCCCGTAATTTCGCGAAACGAAATTCAAAGTTTTCGAGAATTGGAAATTTCAAAAATTCGTAATCGCGATATTCGTTTCGATACGATTTTTCGATACATAATTCGCGTACGTCCTCCCTTTTTTTTATTATTATTTAAAATTATTTCAAACTGTTGATTAATAATTTTTGCGTTTATCTTGTATAAAAATATCTATCACAATTTGATTCATAATATACGTCTCTCGTGCAACAAACATCGAAATAAATTCGATGATAACAGTAAAAAAAAAAAAAGAAAGAAAAAAGTGAAAGAAATATTAATTTCAAATATCATTAGATTCGTTTTTCGTCGTTGATTATAAAATTATAGATTGGACGGAGCACGCGTTCCATCATTCGATATCGGAATAATAATAAGGGAAAGGAAGAGAAATCGTTTTTCCCCGAGGAAGCGCTTTCGAGACCATCGGTTTTTCCATCGCCAGATCTTTTTCCACGTTTTCTTTTATCCATGGCGCGCGCATGCCGGGACGATCAAACTCTTCACCGAGCCTTTTGTTCCACGTTACGAAAGACCGCGGTCAACTACTCTGAAAGAGATCGTCCACGTCTTCATCTCTTTCCTTTTGAATATTCACCTGTTAATGAAAAACCACCGAGCTGTCCCCTAAGAACATCCCCGTTTCCTCGACGACCGTTATAACGATCGTCAGACGAGAAGTCAGCGTCTCGTTCATCCCTTTTTTCCCCCCACGATCACGATTTATTATTAATTCGATCGGATCATCATAGAATAAGGAAGAACGGAAGAGGATATTTACCGATTTTTTTTTGAAAATTCGACGAATAATTCGGCGAGGAAAAGTAGCGATAAATTTTAAAAAAATTCTGAATTTCGATATTCTCCATCGATATTTTTTTTTTTTCAAAGGGAGAAGCGGCGAAAAAAGTGGCGAGCACGATCGAAAATGGGCGCCACTTATCGAAATTTCACGAATTTTCTCGCTGTTTAACCGTCCATTTTTCGATCGTCGTCGATCGTTTTTTTTTTTTTTCTTTTTTTTCGTTTCCGCGACAGCTCGTCGATAAGTACAACGAGCATTGCTCAACTGAAAATAGAAAAGATGGAGTATTTTTAACGTCGATGACGTGTAAATCGATATTTACGGCTAACGGCACGATCGTTATCATCAGTGTCCGTTCTTTGAAATAATTTCGAAATCGAATAATCGACGAGCGAGCGAGAGAGAGAGAGAGAGAGAGACTATGCATTTTTCCTCTCTCTTTTTCTCGCGAAAAAATTTCATTTTTACCGCGTGCAAATGATCGAAACGTAGGACCTGCGTCAGTCAATTATAGCATCGCAAAGGCTATTTAATAATAACACACACACACGTATATATATATATATACATATAATTATCGAGCAATCATGATGGAAATATTTGCAACCGTTATACAACGAAATAACACGTGGCCAAAACGGTGGAACGATCGTATATATTCATTAATTTCACCCTTCGTTATTATGCATTATCAAATTCGTGCCAATTATACCTTTGTAATTGCGTATTAAAATTGGATTAAACAGGAAACATTTGAGCAACAAGCTTCCGGAAACTGGGTCAGCTACGTGTCGTTGGCACGGCAACTTCTATTTTCCCCTCCCCCCTGTTGTTAATTTTTAACCATAGGCACGCGGACATCGTGTGACAAAGGAAAAACAAAATTGTAATCGCGAGTAATCGCGATCATTTTTAATCAATTTAATTTTCTCAGTGATGTTGCTACTATATGCGATTAATTAAAGAAATATTTTCGAACGATTTCGAACAAAGATTATGCTTTCACGAGATGTAACGAGATCCCGGATTAAAGTATCAAGTAGTGATTATTTTTTCAGCGATACTTGTGATGTATTTTAATCCCCCCTTTCTTTCCCGATCGGGATTAAACGAAGGCTGAAAAGAATGCTTCAAGCGATTGAGGTTACAACCTTTCGTGCTGTTTCGATTCCCTTGTTCAGACGCTCGAACATATAAACTTTATGCTAATCGATTTATTTAGCAACTTTTTAATCGATCGATCTTTTATTAATAACAAGCCAAACTTTCGTCATCGCTTAAGGATTTTCTTCGAGAAGAGAAAGATTTTTCGAAAATTTCAATTCAGATTGGAACAATATTGGAATATTGATTCGACCGTTGATAATCTTTTATCATTATCAGTTGTGAATATTAATCACAGACATCGCCTAATCTCAATCGAATCGACAATCCATTCAACTCAGATTCCACTCTTTCATTGCAGGAAGCACAAGGAAGCGAGATTAGACCCGTTTCGTTTCATCTAATACCAATAGAACAGGTATTCGTCAATTCAATACCTATCTGTTTTTCATCTATCTCCTTAATTAACCATCTATAAGCGATTACCAGTCAAATTCTAGAACCCTCTATCTTGGAACACCCATATCATTTTCTTCGAGAATCAATTAAATCCCATTAATCAGCTTTTCGTAGCTCCATCAAACTTTTCAATTCGACCAATTTTATAGAAGAAAAAAAAAAAATAAATTCCAATAGTTCAATTGAAAATATGTGATCGACGAAGATTACATCTCCCTTAAAATCGAGCCGCTTTTTTTCAACACGGCGTTCAAACCATTCCACCAAATTATTAAGCCTTATTCACACACATTTCCCGCAAATACACATCCAATCTATCCGGACAATTTTGCGACCAAGTGTGGCATTACATCGCGTGCAAGTTATCACCACCACAATGTTAACTATCCAGGCTGTACTATACTGTATAAGCCACTTGTAACGGGACGTTTTGTCGCGATGTTTCTGTCCGTTCCAATAACGGGGGGAGGCCTGGTTAATCAGCATATTAACGGGCGGGATAATCACCGGGCGCGCCAAATTGTTAGTAGAAATTCACGTGGACGAAGATTATAATTTAGCCGGCCAATGCAAACGCGGTATGCGAGCCGCGTTCATTTTCAAAGCGTTGCTTTCACGTCACGGCCGATCATCCGCGTCTCGAATAATCGACGAAGAGCCAACCTCCGATTATTTAACGATTCCCGCCATTTCCGGAATTCTGGATCGGTTGAACAATATGATGATACGATTCCATCTGGGAATGGGTATAACTTGCGAGTGGGGGAAACGGGGGATTATAAATAGAGGGGGTGAATGAGTAATTCCAGTTTCTGTGTAGGATAGGGAAAGGAATTTATTTCACTTTGAGATGGAAGATGAAATGTTCGAAGCGTTCGTATCGCTATTTTTGTTCCCAATTTTCTCTCTGTTGTTATGAGTTGTTATATTACATATATACGACGAGAAAATTGGATCGATATTGAAACTTTCGATGAGAAATTCATGGGTAATAATTTTTGGTACGTAGAATGCGAACAAGTTATTTCCACCCGCGAAAATAATTTGATAATAATTCGGAATAAAAGAGGTTTTCGTTCGAAGCCTCGTTCTGCGGAGTTTGAAAATTCGAACATTTGTGCCGTTCCCCAACTGGATGGACAATAGGGGAGGGGAGAGGTTGGTTTATTTTGCACGCGAAAAATGAATAAAAAAATACCCGTTTCCGAGAAAATTGAGTTTGAGAACACGAGTTCAAATGTCAACACGCGTGTATTCTACGAATTTTTAAATCAGATTCCAAAACAAGGCCCCCCTCTCATTCTACTTTTTTTTTCTTTTTCATTTATTTCCCCGATTTAATATCTTCCCTCCATCCTCGTTCAAAATTATATATATAAAATTTTCGCTCCCTTCGAGCGCGTGAAATCTCTTTCTCGTTCTCTGCTTCTATCCAAAGATAATCTCGCCACACCCTGTACACACACACACACACACACACACACACACGTGTCTCCGCCCTCGCGCAGAGCAAATCGTATCGCGATCTGTGCCCGACAACAATCACTTTCACGTTCGTGTTCCTCGCGATCGAAAGGCAAACGGTGGAAATTGGCCGCGACAAATTGCTCGCGTTGGAAAGTTGGCGGAGGAAATCACGTTTAAATCCCCATTGAAATCGGCCGCGATTAAGCGCGGGGACGGGGGAGGAGAACGGTTAGAGATCCCTGTCGCCGTTCATTTTAATTATGAGAGGTAAATAGAGAGAAACACGGTAATTGGGCGAAATTGTTGGATTTTCAGTGGTCGAAGAACCGGCGCGTATCCTTCGTGGATTTTTATTTATATCGTTATTGGACGATGACGAAGAGGGATCGAACGAGTGGAATGTCGAGGAAATATTTCTATGTAAAAGAAATTACACTCGCCACGTGTGTTTCTACTTTGTGAGATTCAACTCTCGCTCTATCTTCCTCATCCTCTTTAACATACGGTGCACGTGTTGAACGTTAGGTATACAAACGTTTAAGCATTACGTTCCACGGGTAAATCCATACTTTGCATGTATAATCTTCCATCTCGTGGTTAGAATAATTCCTATATTTAACTGGCGAAACATTCGAAACATCGATACAATTTATGTATATATATATAACACATTAATGCTAATTAATTCGTAAATAAAAGAATGCAGTAAGGATAAAATAATTATGCAAAAATTATATAACAGAAAAGAAACTCTGGCGTGTAAAAATGTAAAAAAAAAGTAAGAATTATTCTTTGATCGTTCGTTTCGAGTGTTCGATCGATGTTTCAAAGTAATCTCGATTCATGTTTCGCGCAGTAATACATTTATACCTCGTAAAAATTGTAATTGTATCGCGCTCGATAAAACGAACGACACGGAAGTTATCGATCAAAATGACACCGGTTGGATGCTCTTTTTCGAGCAACCTTTTCCAACGATTATCGTTCCATCGTGACGCAATTCTCGTCGTGGGCGCGCCGGCTAAACGAGTTTAACTTTGTTTACCGGATCGAGCGAGCAAGCGTTTCGATTAAAAGTGGCAGCGTGTCGTTCATTTGAAATGGCAATTGTACGCGGAAAGAGCAGTCCTTGGAGCAACACGTGCGACTTTCCAGCGAATCGACAACTTTTCGAGATGGCCGGAAACACGGCCGAGTACTAATTTTCAGAAAGGAAACAGTTAGGGACGATTCTGTGTTCCAATCTTGCTTTCGTTTCAATTTTATATGGAAGAAAAAAAAAAAAGGAACGATAGAGATTTTTAAGAAAATAGTGAAAAAAGAAACGAAGAATTTTTGAATAATGAAAAGTATTTAAAAGCGAAATATCGAAACAAGAATTATTTGTAAAGTTTTTTGAAAACGCGATCGAAGAATTTCAATCGAATTTGAAGTCCGAATATGCGTTCCAATTTTCCAATATTTATGGTAGATTTTATGGCTGACAAATATAAATGGGGAAAAATATCTTGGAAAAATTGGATCGATGAAATTTTCGAATCTATCTATCTTCATCGTATTCGTTTATTATCTAGGCTTCCTTTTTTTACACGTATTTTATTCCATGCTTCTCGAACTCGTTATTTGGAACTTGCGATTTATTATCATTCCAGGTGAAATGTATCTCGAGCAGGGCAATTATTCTTTCCTGTCCCGGCGGATCCTGGCGGGTTCGAAAGGAAAACTTGGCCATCTGTTTCGAGGATTTTTAAAAGTTGGTAATTCCTCGAAAACTTTTCCACCATTCCGCCCTAATTTTTATCTCTCCCTTTCTCTTCACGTGGACTGTCTCGAAGAAGTTTTCATCGAGGGATAAATCGAAATGACCTACATATTTGAGAAACGAGACATTTTTTTTCTCTCTCTCTCTTAAAAATATAGAGATCTCCTCGAGTTTTTTTTTTTTTAACACCTTTTCGAGAACCGACATAAATCGTGATCCACCATCGAGGCGAAAAGGCTACATCTTTCCCCGCAAATGTCTTAAGGGAAGAAATTTATGAAGCTCGGCGAGGAATAAGCTTTGGGATAAAGTTGGGAAATTTTGCCCTTTGGTAACCCGTCGAACGAGAATTTCTAATTTCCAAATTGAATTTTCGTAACGATATTCCATTACTTTCCTTCCTTTATTTACCGAATTAAAGAGACGAGAATCTATATAATCTTTTTTGAAAGACAATTTTCATAAATTAATTTCCCCTTTCTTAACGTTTCTATTCTTTAATAATAACATCGATAATAAGATTGACACTTCTTTAATAATCTTCATCGATTAAAAAGAATATTTAAGAAACGGAAATATTAAACGGAGTATTTCGAAAGAATACTCTTTAAAATTGTAAGTAAGAAATTGAAGCAAAAGTTTAAACTTTTTCTCCAATTACAGACGAAGATATTATTATTGATCTCCTTTTCCTTCGTTCGAAAATATGGTTGAAAGGTATTCGAAGGTATTTCGTCGAGCCCCCAAAATCCGCCGTTAATTCCAACATGTCGATAACGTTGATTGATTAGCCCTGAGCCACCCCCCGTTGCCGAGAGTCAATACTGTCCATCGAGCCACGGTAATATTTCCGTTGAAGACCCGTGGAAAATTAAAAGGCGTTAATTACCACCGCGATACACGACGGGGGCCTCCACGGGGGATAAACGCGCGAAAAACATGGAACAACCCTCAAATATTTGGCTGATTTGGAGGGGGGGATGTAAGTGAAAAACTGGCAACAAGCGAACTCCCTCTCTAACCCTCCCGATATTAATTGAATTCGTTCAAATATTGACCGTGACGATTTACTTTCACGATTGAAACGGACCCTGTCTTTCGGCCGCAAATTAGAGGTTGAACGTTGGATAATTTTCGATTTACGCGTCGCGACGACTCTTGTCTGAAATTTCCACTAGGTTTAATCGGGAAATTTTTCCCCGAATTTTTATACATTTTGAAAAATTGTTGAATTGATTGTTTTTTTTTTTTTTATCAATTTTAATCGTATCGTGATTCTCTCAATGAGAAATAAACTTCAAAAAAGTAAAGAATTTTATAATAAAGAGATGTTTGATCATAAAATTAAATAATATTTCTGGACGAATTTACTTTACCACCTTTATGTTTCAATATAACAAAAGTATCTTAAAATATCAAAACGTATCTTCCAACGTGAAAAGATCCAATTCACTTAGTTTGAAAATACGCTAATTTCTCTCTCGTGATCGACATCAGCTTCACAAACTCTTCCTCTCGGATATATCCAATTTTCTGACCACCATCGTTCGGAAACGTGGCGAAGATGACGAACGACCTGACACCCCTCCCCGGTTAACGAGTCCACGAGCTCGCCAACCATTAAATTCCTCCTCGTTTCCGCGAAGTGACTCGGTAAAACTGACAAAGCGTCATTAAATCCGCACCCTCTACCCCAGGCTGGGGTCGCGACAAAGCGTAATTGCGCGAACGTTGCCGAGATTCCTTGCTTGTTTCGCGGCTAATGCGTACAAATACAGAGGGAGAGGGAAGGATAGGCGGGGTCCCTAACGGTCGGTGCACAGGTATAAAAGTGGCACGATCACGAAGGGTGGGGCGAAGAACTTGGTGTGTGCGGTGAAACGTGACGCGCGTGGAGGGTGGCTCGAAATTTATTTATTTATTTGTTTGTTTGTTTATTTTTAGGAGAACGCGAAGCGGATGGAAATTAATCAGGGAGGGGGAGGGATTCGTACGAATTTCGAGGAAAATTTGCTCGAAACGAGTTTTTATTTTGGGATGAAGTTTGAAAATTTCGTTAATTAATCAAGACGATTAATCGAGGGATTATGTAATTGATATAACGACGCGAGGCGCGATTATATTAAACTTGCGCATTGAATAATTTAATTATTATCGATATAAAACACGGTTTATTTACATATTATTATAAATTAGATATTGTATAATCGGAACGATTATAAAGCGTTGAAACGAAATTAATTGATCGAACCGCTGTTCGATTATAGATACTTAATACATTTTGTACTTTGTTCGATTATAGATGTACTCATAGCTGCGTATTACACTACTGAAGCATATTGGTTGCTTTTAAAAAATTTCTAATTACAAAATAAAACGTGAACACGTTTGTAAATTGTGTTAAATAATTTCTTACACTCAAGTATTTGGAATTAGCAAAATTTAAAAAATCAAATTTGAAAGAAGGATAAAACCTAAAACATATATTTTCCTTATGATAATTCATAAATTTATAATATCAAATCCAACGATTTTTGATAACAGCGAATGGAATGGAACAAGCTTTCTCACATCCTCGTGAATCGCTAAAGGATATAGAAGGGTGGTCTCTCACCCTCTTTAACAGAGAGTCTACTTCTTCTCCATCCAGGCGAGAACGCGAGGAAGTTGGGCCTGGCAACTCCATCAGGATCCTGATTTCCGTCCCATCGGCAGGATCGAAATCTTCGTGCCTTTTTTTCGCTTTCCTTTCTTTTTTTATATCTATATTTTTCATCGCCACTTCTTTCTTTTTTCTCTTTACAAATATCTCTTTCTCATCGAAAGCTTCCCTTATTACTCCGCGACGCTCTCCTGTCTTTCGTTTAACTTTCCAATCTTCTCGACTAAAACGAGGTCGCGGCGAAGTCGATGCCGTTTTCCTCTCGATACTTTGTTTAATTAGTTTTCTATTTTCCCCCTCCGCGACAGATCCCCAAGTATTTCTTTTTCTTCTCGGAATTTTTTTTCTCCATCTCCAAAGAAAACGTATACAATTAAAAATATCAGTCGAACAATACGATCCATCCTCGTTTTTCAAATTGCCTTTACTAAAAACTGCCTTTCGAAACCTGCTCCGCAATTATCGATCGGATTTCCACGAGCCAACATCCATCCAAATCCTTCGATTCTTATTATCCCCAGCCATCCTTTCATCCCCCAAAAGCAACAAAAATATCCTCGCTATCCCTTTCATCCCTCTCGTGCAAACACCTCCACGCAACTCCAAGCCCACCAGACCTCTAGAAGAATTCTAAAAGCCGGCTCCTCCCCCTCGCCCCGAGAAGAATTCAAAAGAGCTGGCTCCTGTTCCTCGAAAATTCTGGTTTCGATAACCGTAGAATCAACAGTAACAAACCCGATCGTAGATTATTCCTCCCCTTCTCGAACAAGTTGCCCCGTTACTTTGCCGCGTCTGAATAAGCTTCGACGATCCATTATCGGCCAAACTCTCCCCTCTCGTGAAACGGCGCGATAAAACCCCTTTTTCCACGAAAGAGAGGAAGAAAGAGAGGAATAATACAAGGGTTGCCGCGGCTTTGGCGACGGAAGTGGCCCAACCTTCTTCCTCTTCCTATTCCCTCCCTCTCTCTCTCTCTCACTGCTGACCAACCGGATTCGATTTGTTGGAATGAGAGGCCACGTTTGCGCGGCCCGGGGCTAAAAGTCGAACGGTGTCTTCGTATTTTTCGAACAGATATTACCCGCCGGCTGCTTTCACGTCTAACAACCGCCTCCTCTCCCGGCTTACTTTTTCGGGGGATGAATCCCGGATAGGGAGTTGAGTGGTTTCTATTGGTCTTGGTGATCGATGGATAGTAGCAGGATCGAGTTTATTTCGTCCTTTTTTCTTTTTTTTTTTTCGAGGGAGGGAAGGGTTGTTGTTTGATTGGTGCGGGGGTTCGAGTGAACTCGAGTTTGAAAGTATTGTCGGAGGGGGCGTGTTGGGGTACGAGTTAATGCGGATTCTTTTATCGAGTTTGGAAAATGGTGGATGAAAAGGGGAAAATGGAAAGGTGATCGTACACGGTATTTTAATTGCTCGACTCGTTGGTTTTTGTTATCGCATGATGACTCGTGTATTTGATCGGGTTAATCATTCTCGTAATTGTTTTACGGCTGTCGCACGGTTTTGCCTCGTTTTCCAGTAAAATATTCTCTGTTTCTTACATCGAATTAGTTCGTTCATTTATGATAAATTAAGCGATATTTTTTCTTAAATATACAATTCCTAGCAACGTGTCGTACAGTAAATTTCATTTTCTCTTTCAAGTAATACTCGTAATATTCTTTTCGTTTTTTTTTTTTTTTTTTTTCACGCGGAAAAAGAAGAACAGAGATGCCTTCGTTCATTATTATAACGGGGATAATAAAAAGAGCGGGAGAAATAAAAATAAAAAAAGATCGCAGAACAGATTCATCCACCCATAGACAAAATGGAGGTGTAGTGGTCATAACGAAGCGTTCATCGACAGTATCGGAAAAGCGTTTATATAAAAATGTCCATCGTGTGGCGGAGTTGGTGTACGCGACGAGAAAATGGCGATCGGCCGGAAATTGCTGAAAGAACGTCAGGTCGATTAGCAATTTATTGCCACGGCCACGGCACAGGACGGTTGACCTGCAACCCGTGACGCAGAAGAAATATTATTAGCCTTTAGATTTGCGGTCCACGATATTTTTACTCGTCTAAACCGAGTATATACACGAGTGTCCTCCTGGTCGCAATTTGCTCGTAAAGTTGCGTTAAAGTAAAGGGAATTTTCCTGGGAAAATCTACGAACTGATGGTCTACGTCGAAAAGAAAAAAAAAAAAAGACGCAATTTTCATATTTACACCTTTCCTTCACCGTTTACCTTCCAAACGGTCCTATCCTTTCTAAACTGTTTCCATCTCGATTTTCGCCTTTCAAAGATCAAATTTATTTTTTCCACAATGTATTGTGATCTCGAGAATATTGTATAATTATTTCCAGAAGATCCTTTATTCCATATTCGAAAGCTTCTTCTATCAATCTGTCATCGTCGAATTAAATACGGAACAGTTCTAAATAACGCCTCCAAAAGCAGAAAGAAAATTATTTTTTCCAACAGCGCATTCTTTCCTTCCCGCGAAAGAAACGAATGGGTGGCTATCCAAGCGCTGGTCTCTCACACGGCTCAAAAAATCGTGCAGCTGCAACGCGTTTCAGCGTGATTACGAGAATAGCCGGACCATTCCGGATGATAAAGCGAGATGGCACGTAGGAGCACGCCGGTTCATGCGAGCACAAAAATTGGAATTGCCCCGGTGGGATTTACGCCTGAGCAGATTAGCTTCAGCATATTTTTGCGCGAGATATTTTTCACAAGATTAACAAGGATCGCGCGTTTTCGTTTCGTTTTATTTTGTTTCAAGCCGCCTTTCCTTGGGGAGGGATGGAACGTTTCTCGAGGAAATTTCGAAGGATTAATTCGAAAGGAAAACGGGGGGAAAGTGTGCCGTCGCCGCACATTTGAGTTCGATGAATTTTGCATGCGAATCATGAATGATTTATCGATATCGAAAGGTGTTACGTAACGCCGTTTATCATCCCCGCGCGAACGAAAAGGTTAACGGTTTTACATCGGTCCGGTTGTATGCAGATTTCTAATTAAAATTTAATCCTACGATTAAATTATTCTATAAACACCGCGATGATAGTTAATATCTCGACCGATTGATTCATCGTGAACGAAGGATTAAGTTCCTTCAAAGCGATAACTCGATAATTCTAGGATAACGCTAATCTATGTGTTCATCAAATGGACTTGCAAATTTGGCTGAATTAGAACGCGGTTCAAGTTCTTGTAAACCGGCAATTCAATAACTCTAACGAATTTCCGTTAACGAATGCCGTTAATTTTCATCGCACTGGCCCCAGTTCGAATAACTATACTGGAACATAATCACTTATGCGAATACTACAGCTTTCGATATTTTCCAAATAATTAACAATTCGTAGATTCCTTTTAACCTTTTCGTTAAGGATTTTTCTATTTTTGACCGCAATATTAAGATCGGAATCTAAAAAGATTCTTTTCAAATATATGGATCCATCCACAAATATTGGCAATTTTCTTTTCTATGCTAAGACAGGCAAGGCGGTGTTTCGTGTAAATAAAGGTTTAAAGTTCCGTTTCCATTTTCCAATAATTGTAGAAATTTGCAGGAACGATCGTAGGGAAGCACAATTGCAGCATGCCAGGAACACGACTGGCGGCGTCGTAAAATTCTTATGCGCGTTGGAAACTCGGCTTAATGAACATCTTACGCGCGCATGCGCTCCTGGAACGTACTCATTCGCCATTTATCGCCCTTTGAGGGAGGGTCGAAGGTGAAACTTCTCCATCCTTAAAGCTCAATCGTTCGCGCCAAAGGATTGTTATTATTTTCGACGCTGGATTTATTTAACGGAATCCCCTCGTCAGAGAAATAATTATAGAATAACACGCGAGAACGAAATCGTCATTTGGTTACGAAGATCTCCAATCGTCTTTCGAGGAAGTGGATCAGTTTACTCAGCTCACTGTTTCGTAAGAAAGGATGGAAAAATAATATTTGAGAGAGAGAGAGATTGTTAGTTGCGGATGAAACGTCAATATTGTTTCTAATTTCAATCAATGTAATTTGTCTTAGTCATACATTTACGTTACGTGCGGCCTTCTGTTCTCGCTAAGAACATTTTTGTAGAACCATCATTATTCCATTATATTCCAGATTCTAATTGTTTATTTTTTCGTGAATTTTATATCTTAATTTCCTTTTTATCGACCATCAACGATTCATATCAATTTATACGCAAACAAAAGTACACATTTGCTAATAGAAATCGATCAAACTCTTTATTACGGGGAAATCTGTTCGAAGAGAAACTGGCGTCTCGATTAAATAATATCCTATTAAATTCCCCGCGCGAAAAAGAGAAGAAAGAAAGAAAGAAAGAAAGAAAAACAAAAGAAACTTTAAATTCCAATCACATCCAATTCCAAATACCGAGATCGAACGAGCCGTCGTTTTCAATCAGCGTTTTACAATTTCCACGTTACATCAAAAAGGAACGCACAGGTGGTGAAAAAAAAAAAAAAAAAAGGAAGCCAGGGGAAAACTAGTCAACGATCGACCCCCCCCTCCCCTAACCCGACGTCGGGTTGACCTGGCGTTTTCTATTTAAAAGCGGCGAATTAGCGATCGAAATGATTTACATCGTTCCCTTTTAGCGATCCAGACGTCGTGTCGTCCCCGCATAAACACCCGCCAATCATTATTAGACCGAACGATTCACTCGGTGGAATATTAAATGAGGGGAGGGGACGGGCAGACGGGCGTTGCCGAAGGGAGGACAAAGGAAGGAAATGTATTCGCGAATCCCCCTCCCTCCCTTCTCTCCACTAGAAATTTCTATCCGGGCGAAAAGGAGGAGGGGAAAAAAAATTCGAAAGCTCTTCCTTCGCCGTTGGAATTTTTGAGCATCCTTCACCCTTGGCCATTCAGCCAAGGTAAATTATCCATTGCTCTCTCCCTCTTCCTTCGCATCTTCTCTCTCTCTCTCTCCTTCTTCGACCGACTCTCTCCGCTCCTCCTTCTTCTTCCTCTTTTCCTTTTCTTTCTCTCTCTCTCTCTCTCTCCAAACTCGTTCCCGGTCGTTGTTGCTCGCGCCACTGCAAACGCAGCACAGCACAGGCTACTTCCTGGTACTTGTGGCTTTAATCTCGTTAATGCAGGTCCGCGTGGTTCGGCGGTCGTTTCGTTAATTCCTGGCCATTTCAATCGGTCCATCGAGCGAGCCCTCGTTATGCCGGATGCATATACAATGTGCACGCCCCAAGGTACAAGCCACGTTCAATTTCATATTGGACGGGGTTTTGATCGAAACGAACGAAACGCGTGTTCGAGCAAAATGATAAAACTGCCAGCACGGGGGGATGGATGGAGGCAAAGTTGTTTACCCCGAGCACGATTAATTTGTATTTGTATTCGGACGAGGCGTTGAATGGATTTTGGAGGCTGGATATGATTGAATGATTTTTCGATGTAAGGAATTTTTAATTTTAATTCTCTTAATTTCGGTGGATTTGTCCCGAGAGCTGCGTTCAAAAAAAGATTAGATTTTCGTTGAAAATCATTTATAATTTGATAAGATAAACAATTTCAAACGAACGGAACATTGTCGTTCATGATAAATTCATTTTCACGAGGATTAAGTAATTAATGACCGTAAAACGTGTTATTATATATTTGAATTTAGAGATTAATTTGCACGAAGCGTTTATCGAAATTGGACGTAAAATATTCCTGCCTCCATTTCGCTCGTATTACATTTATCAGTATGAAAAATATTTATCGCTATCCGTTAAAAAAACCGAGTTACAAATAAAAAAAGAAAACTCGTTAATAAACAATTTTACGATATCTAAACGCTAAGTTTCAAATGGCTTCAATATATATATATATATATATATTATACTGAATCAGTTCAAACCCATTTTTCTATACATCTGTAATAACAAATATTAACAAAAATTTCAAAGTTACGATACAACATTTATTAGAAAATTAAATTAATTTTCATACCCGATATCGACGATTGTCACTGAATCGATTTTAAAACCTTTCAACCTTCTTTTATCCTCGACGTATAACATCCTGATACAACTCGACTGCTATAAAAATTTCTCCGCCTCGCGATAGAAGAGTTAATCGCCAAACTCGAATATTTCTTACACGATTTCATACACGCACAGAGTCGATATCGATAAAGGGTATCGATTTTAGATAATTTCACGGTTTTCGTTGTACGATACAGAGCGATACAGAGGATAAAACGTTTATCTATTCTACTAATTCGAACGGTAAATCCGCGCTGATCCATCCACCACGATAAGCGGCCGTTATCATCCTTGGTATATATTTCGGTTATCATCGAGATATCGATTTTCATAATTCTATCTCGCGTAATACGTCGCAGGTATTAGCAGAAATTTTCCACTAATGCCATCTCGTTGATCAACGATTAATCGATCTTGACGTGTCTTTTTTTTTTTTTCGACGCGATTTATCCTCCTCCTCTTATAAAAAGAAGAAGAAGAAGAAAAAAATTAACGATTTTCGTTAATGCGCTCCCCGATAAATAAAGTATTAATCGAGCCGCGAAGCGTTTTCCAATTTATCCGACGCGAAAGAAATAATTAACATAAAGCGGAAATGGTGGTGGAGAAAATCGATCGAGCGGCTCAAGGACCAGTTTTCGGCGCCCCTGTTCTGCTTTTTCGATCAATCGTGCGGTTATTTTCGGCAGGTTTTATTCTAGAATATTCTATAGCGAGACTCGAGACGCTGTTTCATTTTTCACGAAATAATTTAAAAAAGGGAATAAAAATATCTTTGATTTGTCGAGGGACAGGGAATTTCGAGAGGATTCATTTCTTTGAAAATTGTTTTGAAAGAAAAAACGAGGATACTCTAACTCGGGATGAGAAAAGAAATTTTACAATCAATGCATGGTGAAGAAATTTCTATAACGATTTTTAAAACAGAATTCGTTTTCATCAGTTTCAGTAGTTTTGGAATCACGAAAGTTAGCTCGAGCACTCAAGCTCTCGCCCCTGCACTTCAAAATCAACGTTCTATCCTCTCATTTGGAAATTATTAGCGAACAGAGTGGTGGATCGCGAGAAAATTTATTTACTTAACTAACTAATTTCAATCTAAATGCAATAGACCATTGAAAAACACGCAACGATTTCAATTTTAAGACCGATTAAAATTATGTTATCACATGCACAATGAAAGTATAACGATAACCTATCAGTAATTTTTCCATAAAATTTAACTTTTCATTCTTTATTATAACCTGAAACTTCTTTAATTCAGTCGTAGCAATTTATAACACGATTCTTCCTCTTCTTTTATTATCTTTCAGTACGCATACAATTTTAAATATGCTGTATAAATCTTATCAAACCGTGATTTCTTAAATCTCGAAGTCGTTGCAAGAATGAAATTATTAAACGCAACACCATTAATTACTGGATCAAAGTATCATCCAATATGAATTTTGAAACAAACCATTCGCTTCTCACATGTTCATATAGCATAGCAAAATAAATTCGTCGTAAAAGATGATCAAGATCGATCAAAGTCCATTCTGATTCCAATTACCAATCCCAAAATGTAGATAATCCAAGGGCCAAGTTCAGAACTGATCAACGATTCGTCGCGTAACCACGACACAAATTGCGGTCTCGTTCAATGGAGCGCCCAAAGTGTTTTAAGCAGACGTGAGCAAATAGCTTTTCGACCTGGCGTGTCTCGTTATTTACCAAAACACAGGCGCGATAAGGAGAGAAGAGAGAGAGAGAAAGGGAAAGCGGATCCAGTCGAGTTGGCTCAAGATAAAGACAGGAACAATGTCGAATCGGATTTAACTTCGTGTTCTCCGCCTCTCGTGTTCCCTACGTTTTCTGCTCTCCCTCCGACATATATCTTCGCTTCTCCACCGTCGTCTCTGCGGAGAAACGGCCAGGTAAGAGGAGATAGAGCCAAGGGACGATTACTCGACGAGCCTCCCCTCCATCATCCCATCCTTCACGAAATTCTCTCGTCTAAATTGTGGACCCCTCAGGGATAGTCTATATCCTAGCCCGCTCGTTCATAATTGAGCGCGTCTCTATCTTCTCTACCAGCATTCGTTGCTCCCTCCTCTCGTGACGAAAACTGTTCTCGATGATTCTTAAATTTAGATTTAAATTTAGATTTTTCTCCACGTTGATATTTCATATTGTCTTATTCGTTTGGAAATAGAAGATTCTTGGATTGGATGGTTCAATCGATTTTGGGGAGATCAATTTAAATTATCGCGAGGGGTAGCTTTGTTTGTCAGAGACGATATATATTATAAAATAGATGTTATTACGGTTCCGTGATTCTATTAAAATTGATAGAATAGAATCCTCTCCGTGGGAGAGGATTCTCAAGTTGCTCCATTAGATGAATCTTTATTTGATGTAGACAATCCCCGGTGCGAAAGATTCCCCCCTCGATCCAATACCCGAGAGGTGTCCGCAACATTGACTCCAATCATGCAGAATTTTTCTAATTAAATTATCCTTCGCCTTTGCTACATCAACTCTTTCTACGCCTCGTTCAATTTGCCCATCTCTTCGATTCTTCTGTTATTCGCGAAAGTATTCGGAAATATTTTCATAAAATATTCGATCGAATTTCCATTGCTAAAGCAATCTTCGATCGTCCCATCCTCGGCCGATTTCCGAGTAGGAAAACATTTATCTCCTTCTTCGAACTCGTTACCTTTTCCCCTTTCTTGTTTAACCTTCGACGTCTGTTTTTCCAAGATCCTTCCAAGATCGTTCAATCGTCTCTTCCTCCGGTTTGATCGACGAATTTTTTTTTTTTTTTCCATTTTCAAATCGCGATTCATTTCGCGCCCCATTCCGTCTAATTACCGACTGCCGGTAACCCGAGTGGATGCCACGGGGGATTTTCGTCGCGAAAAAACACTCGAGACGCGCACACTCGTTTCCGGGTCGTGGAAGATTATGAATATCCGGCGACCTCCTCCCTTTCGTGCTTTCTATTTTCCACCGTGGGAAACCCGATGCCTTCGTTTGCTCGTCTAATGGCGTGTCCCACATCTCGAACACGCTGTCGTCCCTTTCTCCCTCCTCTCTCTCTCTCTCTCGAACGAACGAACGAAATGAAAAATGATAGGGCCAGTTTGTTGTCCCTCGATAGAGGAGAGCAGAGTGACGTTTGATAAAAGAGAGGTTGCCTCGATGTTGTTTGACCAGGATGATTGAATTTCGTGATGGACGTTTCTTTTTTTTTGAGGGGATGTTCCATCAACATTGTTCTCCTTGTCGCATCTCTCGAAGCTTAAAATTTCGATCTCGATCTTGATCTTAAATTCAACACGTTATTTGAAAAATCGCTTAATCGATTAGCAGAAAATTACTACTCGAAATCGAAGAACGTAAAATATCCTGGCCGATATAATTAATAGCCAAGAACCGATCCAAGAAAATCAAAAATTGAGAAATTGTACGAATCTTCGTGGAACGGAAACTGCATACAAAGTAACCCGGATCCGCAATAATCGTACTCCTTAACAAGGTGGAATCGTCGTCAGAAAGAAGGGACGAAAATTCAAGTCGGATGCGTTTCACAGCCGAATTGTTCGCCTAATAGCGAGATCTTGCCCCGCCATACGAAGAGGAGGAAGGTGAGAGAGGGGGATGGAACTCGTTATCATCCTCATGATGCTTCTTATCTGGAAACCCCTCGGTCTCTTCCCGTTTGTTCCGCTAAAAGGTGGCCCAGTCGACCAAGCTCCAGCTACTTTGGCCGTGTCCCTCTCCTCCTGCTTTTTCCATCGAGCAAAACCGAGTAATTTCGGGACTTTCCCCTCCCACCCCGCTCTTTCGTGCGTTCAAACGCGCATCGATGTCTCGGATGAATTTTCCTCGACCGGTCGATGGTTTCGCCTTCCGTCGCAAAGAATAAGTTAATTAGAGCCGAGTACTTTCGCGTCCTTTATGCTCCGTTCTCAAATTTGCGCTTGGAAATTGTTTCCACGTATCTTGCTCGAGCATTTGTAACTAGTTTAATGGTTGATAATGCTTGTTTTGAACGTATCCTATATTGAATTTTTAAAGTTGAGATATTATATGGTTCTTAAAATGGTATTATTTTCGAAATTTTTGGAAATATTCGTTTCCTCCCCTTCTGTTGAAGAGTATCCCAAAGCGAATAAGATTCTCTTACTCTTCTTTCACGGATAATCGTAAATTTCGTAAACAGATTTGTCTACATTTCTTTGAAGATATATTGTTTCACGAGCCTCGAGGCCAGCGTCTTCATCTTGAAAGATGAAACGGGAAATCTCGACTTTTCCGAGATCGAGGAATTAAACGAGGATCGTTGTTCGATTGAATGAAATTGCTTTTGGAGCGTGTAAAGTGTTCCGTTAAGAGAAGCGTTAACCGTTTTGGCGATTTAGGGAAGCGTCTCGGGGTTGATCGACGGGAGGGGATTAATTTAGCATCGAGAAGCTGGCGGAGATCGGCGAAAATCCTCGAGAACGTTCCTTCCTCCGACACGATATTAATTAACGAGACTTTGCGCTCGGTTACCGCATTGTTATAGCAATCGAGGGACAACGTATAAATTGCAGAAGGAAACTTTGCTCTCCACCAATTTCAATGGATGCGTAATAGGTTGTTGTAACAACGTAATTTTTTGCTAATTCGGGGAATTATTTATATCTCTATATTCGTTCATCGAGTTTAACTCCATCACCGCTCTTTTAATTATTCGTCTCTATTTCATTTTGATTCGATTCTTACAGTCGCGTCTTGAAAACGCGAATATTTTTCTCTGATTCGCGATCAATGTTTTCTACAATCCGGTGAACGAAATCGAGACAGAAAAAGAATGATTCTTCCTGGATGATCTTCCAATTCGAATACCTACTACTTATACGAATAAAGTTTGCACACTGAAACACACAGTGGTGGGATTTTTGAGGACACGTTTTGTCGATAGTTAATAAATTTGTCCGATTATGGAACCAGTTTAATTCCTCAAAGTCGTCGTTTCATTCGTCAAATTATAAAGACAACGCGTTGATGACAGTATTTATTAATATTCTCGCTCATTTTCTCGAAGACAAGCCCTGTAAATCTCGTGGCGGCTCGTTCTTGCTCCATGGGTGTAAATCCGGCAATAAAACGTCGCGACGCCATCATTTGTTACAAGAGGCGCCGCGATGCCCGGCGTCCTCTCAACCATCGATGCTCTTTTCACCGCTTTAACCGTCGGTTTATCGTTAATTTCGCGTTTCCACTCTCGTGGATCCACGAGATTTCGAAGAGAAGCGAATAATCTCGAGACGAGGTGTAAAACTGGCGGGCAAACATTCCACTCGAGAAGGCGAGATCTGGTGGTTGTTGGTCGATTCAAGGTCGCTTTACAGACTTATTAAATTTTAGCGAGAATTCAGCCGAGAGTTTTGTACCAAGTTCGAGAAGAAATTGAGTTTCAAGGGTGGCGGTGGTTTCCGATAATGAAGAAACTTCGAAGACTCGTGTCAAGGATGATATTGCGTTGGAATAAATATTGTGTAGCGTTCTGTAATTTCTTTTCTTTTCTTTTTTTTTTTTTTTTATTAAAGATTTTCATTTTCATTCTCAAAAAATACTTTACAACGAAGGCTCGAAGGAGTTGGAACGAATGTTGTACGTTTTAATTTTTCAGGAAGGATTCGTTATGCAAATTTTAATTTTCATCAACGCAACTGGAGAAATGGAATTGAAATAATAATGGCCCGTTTGCCACTCTGCAAATATCGTAACAATATTCTTGCATATCATATATAATTGCCAAAATTTTTTCGCACGTCAAAATTTTTCTCGCAGTTTAATTAACAACCATTTTTGAAATAAAAATAATTTTACTCGTCACCACAAATTTCCAACTTATCGGCCAATGAGAAATTCCTCCATTCATTAAACAATTAGAAGGGCAAATAGCACGAAATATTCGGCGTAAGAAATCTTGCTACGCCACACAATTTCCTTCGCAAAATCCTTCTCCCATTCACCGCAATTCCGTGCTTCCCAACGCCCCAATTACAAATCCATTTAAACCATTCGTCCTTCCTAGCTCGGAAGAAGCTTAAAATTTAATTCTCCGCCCTCCATTCCCACCCCATATCAATATCCACGGCTATCTCTCGAAAGAATAAATTCCCTGGGAATCGAAGGGTTTCGTCGATTAACCAATTTGTCTGTATCCTTCGATACCACTTTTTAATTTATAATTTGTAGACGAAAGAGATTGGTCGGTCGAGGAAGGAAGTACGTTCAACACGCGTCGAGTGGCATTGGTTAAGTTTTTGTTTAATTGCAAGCGGCGACAATACGATCAGCAAGGAATCTGCAATCTGCGACGAGCAGCAGTTTAAATTCATTCACGTTGCTCGTTTGTGCAAGACAAGATCGACTCCCTTTGATTACTCTTGGGAATTCTGTGGATTCCGATTTCCTCTCTCTCTCTCTCTCTCTCTCTCTCTTATTTATTACTTATTATTATGTCGTACGTTCTGTACGTACGTACG